TGGTAGCCACCGCCAGCTTTTGATCACCCAGGGCCAGGGGTGAAAAAACACACCGTTCCAGCACTTCCATATCCCACAAGGTCACACACACACACACACACCACATTGGTAATTTTGATCCAATGAAATTATTTGATGAGTAGGATTTGATTCAATTTCAAAGGGAAATTCGTCGTGTATAGGGAAAATGAAGCGTGAACTGAAAAGCTAGGAAGCACTTTGGACAGCTGTTTCGACCTGGTTAGGTCTCATCAGTAGTGCGAATCCAACGACCGAACTGGGGATCGATTTGGTAGCCTAGTCTGAGTCACGTGACGATTCTTGACTCAGATAAGACATTTTTGGGATCTGATGGGGGGGGGGGATCACATGGGNATGGGTGCTCAGCAAATATGTGTAGGATCACAGATCAGAATGAATTTTTGAGGCTCAAATTGAAGTATAATTGTGTCTTTCAACGGTAGCACACTGAGCTGGCGAACTCTGATCAATTATTTGTTTGCAGCAAAATTCCAAACTGATATTGTTTTTGACCATTCGACTCTTCGGAATGCGCCGAATCTGATCCGTGCTTTATTGTAAACATTTCATCGTTTTTTCTTTGAATACATAATCCGAAATGCGATGGAAATGTTTGTAATGACCGATAAAGCTCACTGGATAGCTGTTCCGTGTGCTGTCTAGGACTCGTCAGCAGTGCGCGTACATTTTGTGCCCCCGTGGGAAGACTCGAACCGCGAACTGTCGGATTGGGGCTTCAAACCCTTACCCCTGAGCTACACGGTTGACGGTCATCAGCTTGTGCGAATGACTCGATAAATTTTGGATTAGCTCAATCGATTGATCATCACAAATAATTTTGTCGTGTTTAGATGCATTTAACCGGTGGAGAACTAACCGTCTGCCGATCAGTGAAACCCACAACCAAGACCATCAAGAGTTCGTGATTCTTTTGAACAATAGAATGGACTAATATAAGCTTTATAGTATAGAAATAGAATCCGAAAGGCTGCCAAATCGGATTGCCAAATTCAGCTACAAGGTGGCGAACATTGGCGCCCATGGATGATGGCTTCACCCATCCTCCGGTGAACTGGAGCACTAACGTGAAGTTCAAATGATCTGATTTTTCAGTTAAAACTTTTAAGCACACTTCTTTTTCGAAAATTGGCCAATATTTTTCGTGTTCGTATTTGTCTGCTTTTCGTAACCTATCAAAAGCATTATAGAACCGTAATGAATCACATGTAGGTTCCCAACTGTGGTTGATAGCGGAGCTCTGATTCATGGCTCGCCTCCATCAACCACGCTATTGCCCAGAAAGACGATATGTCGTAATTGATTTTGTCACAGTAAGACAGTACGTTTGCACTCTTGTGGACACAGAGGCTATTCAGGGTGCAGAGATTATCCACGTTGGATAAACGGATATAGGTAGATTTCGGCAAAACAGTTCCAGCTTCCTCCTGATTTCACTCAGCACGAGTACATCGATTTCTTCTACCGATAAGGCATAGGTCCTCACCGAATTAATCCGCATATTATTTTACAGTTTGTGGGTACTCATATCAGATTTGACCCTCTGTCTGCTTTTGCTGTGACTCTAAAGGGGGTTCCATAAATATTTCCAAGATGATGAAAAGCAGAATCCAAGTGTTTCGCTCTTCATATCACCCAAAAATATTACGCGGGCTTCATCAATGATTCTTCTGCCTTTCTGCCAGTAATTGTTTATTCATTTAAGCTGTTTATCTGGCTTAAAAAAACTACCACATCAAGTAACCTGGAGGAAACACTCAGTTTTGTTCTGATCTTGTACGATAAAACTGTGTAGGAAAGGTGCAATCCTACGCACCCATGTCGTGGGTGCTAAAGGCCAGTCATTTGCTACTAAATGCATAAAAAGCATGCAATTTATGAAAATAGGGGGATGTAATAGGTGAGGAACAATATTTCACTGGGCATTCGAATAGCTTGAGCAGAGAAATGTTTCCATTTAATCCGTTCAATGTCAGCCAAAACTTTTATCATTTATAGCGAAGTAGCACAGAAATTAGGTTGCTTATCAATGTATTGTCAATATGGACTGTAGTCTGTCTGCTGTCTCGAAAGCCTAAACCTGAAGGGTTCAGTCAGACCCAATACCCATGTTGAAAAGACTGAGACATGCCAATCATAAATCCCGCTTCGGGCGAATCATATTTATCAGTTTCACAGATGATTCGGTAAGTTTCGATCATCTCACCGGGCTCTATGGCCATCTTTCCAAACAATTATATGGTCGAATTCGATGATTCTGTCACTTGGACAGGCCCGTTGATTCAGTGACCCGTCTCTGTACTTCGTTAGATAATGTCCAAATGGTGACAGAACTTTTAAGTTGATATTGGAACATCCTGGTCTGGAGTTAAATTATTGAAACTTGATACTATAGAAAACTATGGTACAACACAGCTTGACACTGAGACATGATCAGTCGATACTGAGACATCTACTTTTGACACTGGAAAATCTAAAAATGCAAAACATGTATTCTAGATGAAGTAAAATTATTATGTGATGGTCGATAGTTAGCACTGTACAGCTATCTCGTCCTTTCTGGGCTCCTCATTAATGCGTAACTGTTATTTCCCCACCACGGTTCGAATCACGGACACTTGGGTTCGAAGTTGAAACTGTCACTGGAATAAGGTCCAATCCGTAGTTATTTCTGCTCATACTACTCACTACTTTGTCAGTAAACAAAACTAAAAGCGAATAAACTTGAAATGTAGATGGTTGAACATGAAGTCAGATGCCACCATCCAATTTGTTTGTCAAGGGAAGCCTACGTGTCATATCATTAAATATTCAACTGTATGCAATAGTTGTGTTAAATTTTCCAACTTATCAGCATATAACGTTGAATTTTTGAAGAATACGCTGGAATAGAAAAAAAAACAGCGATCGATCGGTTATTTTTTAACCCTACCTGAAAAATACAGTTCTTTGAGAAGGATTAATCTAATAAAGATAACAGACTGTGTTCTTCATCAAGGTTCACGCGAGACTGCATTTCTATCCTCGGCCTGGTCTGCTGGAGTTGTCCAAGCAATCACTCGTGCATGCAGTCGTGGCCAAATGGGCACGTGTGATTGCGATCCGGTTCGACGTGAGGGTCAGGATCGAGATGCCGAAGGTGTATTCACCTGGGGTGGATGCAGTGATCCTATCCGATTCGGTATGCGCCTGACCAGGTTATTCCTAGATGCCACAGATCGGGAACATCGCCAGGCCGCAATGGAACGCGAGGAAGAACTTCATGGACCTATGCTGCGTCGTGACCGGAAACCTTCAATGCGTCCTAATCGCCGGAATGCCGTAGATGTGCAGCAGCAGCAGCAGCAACAGCACAGAAACCGACGCGAGAGACGTTCGTTGACACGTTCAATTTCAAGCATCAATCAAACGTCATCCCAATTTTCCGGTGACGTTAAGCGAAATTTAACCGGCTCGGCAAAGTTCAGCTTCGGTTCACATGGCTTATCACCACAAGAAGTGCAAACAGAAACGCTGCGTATCATGCAGACAAAAGCCAGAGCATTGATGAATCTTCACAATCGTCGTGCCGGAAGAAGAGTAAGTTAGTAATTTACAACATCGATTTCATTTTCGTACAACTGATGTGCCTACTGATTACCATACAAGTAGGCTAATCATTATTTATTCAATTAGGTTACCCACCATTTCGAAATTCATGGAATGCTGTTATTAGTTGAAATGAACTTGGTTTTTCATTGGACCCAATACGAGGGTAGGTGAAATATCACTAATTAGATAGAGATTTTTAAATCATTTTCTACTGCTAATAAAACCAAAAATTATNNNNTTACAGTTGGTCAAACAGCAATGAAGAATTCCTTCGCGGCTAACGAACTATTTTCATATGGATTGATCCCGTAAAACAGTTACATGTTACTTGACATTCCCTTGTGGGACTGGGTGTTGTCCTTCTTTCCTGTTGTCATCGTTGATAATATTATCTTGTTTCCCAAATATGCAAGCTTTCTCATACCGAACAAACTCAATATACTGCTTATGCTTATTGGCAGTGAAGTGACAAAACGTTGATAGTGTAAAAAAAGTCCTAGAAACCTTTAAACATAAAGTGCATTGTTGTGGAACTCTACTGTTCACAGTAAATCATACTTGTTCCGTCGGTTCCAGTCAGTCAGCCAGTGAATCAGTTTATTTGTTGTTGATATACATGAGCTACAAATGATCTCCTGCATGTTTATACCAAAGTTCAACTGAGTGATTGCGGATCTCTCATCGTGAAAGATTACAAGTTCTCGTCTGATTAGGACTTTTCATTCAACCATTTCTACTTGAACACTAGGACCGGTGGCAGTAGTAGATTGCTTTATTACCGAATTCATCTTACCAGATGGACTTTTAACGCCCGAGTGCTGGTGATGGCAATTCGATATAAGCTTTATCCACCGGCGGTGAATAAATGGGTGTGAAAACTTGTCCCAACTGTCAGAATTCATAATCCTTCACGAAACTAAATGTTCAATCTTCAGTAATGACTAGAAGGGTTTCGAAGATTGCTCAAGTGTATGAGGTCCATCTGTTCCTGGTCATGTATAAATTTGCCTGCGGTGTTCTTCACACTGTCTCTGTTCCCACTAGCCATGGAGATCAATAGGAGACACAGAGCAAGTTGATAATCGGCCCCCAAGGATTACCACTTACGAGTAGGGGAATTGCGAACTCGAAACACCAATTCATTATACACGCCTGAGTAAAGACCACAAATGAGCAGCACATGTGTCTGACGGGCGGATGTGTGTGTGTGTGGGTGGGTGTGTTGGGGAGTTGGCAGAGCACAAATTGGATTTGTGCAACCATACATCATTCGAGGTGGATAGTTCCAACCGATTCAGTGTGGACTAATTGAAAACGGGGTCGGACACTGTTCTCGTCTATGTCAGTCAGAAAGGAATGCACACGTGAAAAAGATACATCGTTGTTGGGGACTTTTACAAGGGATGATGTAATCTGATTAGCAATGCCTCTCTTATTGCCAACAGATTATATCACCCTGTTATGTGCGCCCAAAAGTTGTTGACCCAATCAGTTCATTTGCCGTGGAGTTGACCTGTGTTTATTTTTTTACTTCTAATAGCCTTCTACTAGTCTATCTGTACACGTCCGTTCACTATGATTCACAAATCCAATGTGTTATAAATGTGCTTGTTTGTTTTACGTCACTGATTGGGAAGATTACATGAAATGTTAACATCTCGCGACATACGTGTCTTCTTTCGGTCTTGATGCGGTGAAAAACGTTTTAAATGCGATGAAATTCATAGGAACCTATTCCTAATCTTAAAAGAAAACATCTCTAAAAACAATACTCTTGCTTGGAATGTTGGTTTTAATAACTTAACAGAAGGATGAATGTGTACAAAGTTTTAGTCATAATAAAAGTCATTCAAGCAAACGACTCACTCGATCGTTCAGTTCCT